GCGGCTCTTCAGTTCATATAGAGTTGTATATGTGTGAGTTTGGGGGAGAGACACTGACTCCTGACTAGTGTTGCACGGTGTACCGTAACTTGAAAGGTATACCGCGATACCCTGCCGTTAAAAACGTTATGATTCCTCCATTTCATTAGTATCGGTAATTTAAGAATGACGGGGGACAGTACTCCGGTGAGAAAGCGCTGTTTTAAGAAGAGCTGTATGTGTTCAGCGCTCTGCTTCCACTACTGCACTGCAGCCGTGCCTGCAGTCCCGCCCCTCTCAAGCACGCTCTAATGGCGCATTCGCACTACAGCGCGGAGCTCGCTTTAAGCGTGCCGAGCCGTGCAGGGCCTGTTTTTGGTTGCGCTTACACTTGGCCTAGTTCCGGCCCGGGGCTACTTTTTCACCTTTTTCCTGGCACGACTAAATCNTGAGCAACAGATACCAAGGATGCTGGCTGATGAAGGAGACGAAGTAAGCTAATGGCGCATTTCCACTACAGCGCGGAGGGCAGTTTAAGCATGCCGTGCCCGTTTTTGGTTGCATTTCCACTAGGCGTAGTTCCGGCTAGCGGGTACTTTTTCACAGTTTTCTGGCTCTCCAAAATCGAGGTTCTTTCCGGGCCAACAACCGGGCTGAGTCTGCTAAAGTAGTGAGAGAATTGCTGCAACAAAATGAACATATTTGACCGTGATTTAATTGTAATACACGTTTCGAAATGATGCCNGGGCCAGGAACAACCAGGCTGAGTCGGGCTGAGTATGCTAAACTAGAGAGAGAATCGCTGTCAAGGGGGCTACAACTACATATGAACATATTTGACCGTGATTTCATTGTAATACACGTTTCAAAATGATGCCGAAGTAACAACATACTGATACCGGTTAGTAAAAACCATGAATTAATGCTTTGACGAGTCTGCAGACAGACGGCAGGCGAAACACCTTTTGTGTTTTCTGAATGGAGATTGGCTAAGCTAACGTTGTATATGCTCCGACCGTCCACACTCACAACAACGGCCTATACAGACATAAATAAACCAGCGACTGTATTCGCCATGACACAGACAGTCTGTGGTTTGTACTTGTTTACTTGATGATGTCACGGCTCCGCCTACACTGCGTTGCTATAGTTACTACCCCAGTTCCTAAACTGTAATGGAAACGCAGCATAAAGTGAGCCTGGCCTAACGAGGCCTAACGAGGCCTAGCCATACCGTACTAAGCCGAGCGAGGCCCTGCAGTGGAAAAGCACCATATGTGACGCCCCTGGGTTTGACTGTGAGGAGAAAAAAGCGTGAAAAATATCACATTTGTTTTGAAGTCCCTGCTAAGTTGTGCAGTTTTCCAGGTGCTTTGTGGTGTTTAGGAAGGATGAGTGTTTTTTCGAGGTGCTGCTTTCTGTGCAGAGAGGAAATGGTTGCATACATGTTTGAAAATCGCTTTCGAGTGTTTCCATTTACCTTGAGGAGCAGAGGGGGGGTAAATTGCTTCATGCATGTTTTAAATCGCTGCAGGCTGTTTGGTGTGAAAGGAAGTAAAGGAACAGTTTGAGTTTCCTGTCTCACCTCCACCTCTGAAGTTTGGTTGCCATCTCTCACGATGTTTAATTAACTGAAGCTTATGAAACGTTTGTGTTGCTTGTTTGTGGTTTTTGATACCCGAGAGTATTTTGCTTGAAGCTGATTTTTACTGTTGCTATCTGCTGATTTACACCTGTGTACACATCTGTATATGCGTCATGAATGCAGTAAACGTAGAAAGCTTCACCATTTCCAAGTACTTCACATTTCTACTTTATACTAAGATGAGTTCAGTTCAAAGAGAGTCTACGTTTCATCCCTGTAAATACAACATGTAAAGAAAGGGATGTTCCAGCATTTAGCATTGACTCAATAATAATAGTAATACTCGTGTATCTGATAACTGTTTCATTTCTTTTGCATATTTCCTGCTGCCTCTCTCCGTGCTCCACTCTCTCTTCTTCATATTGTTATCTGAAAATAATCCGAGCGTTGTTTTCGTTTCCCAACACGGCAAACAATCTGTTTATATCCAGGGTTATTTACTCACTGGTGGTGCATGGGGGTGTAGCAGCAGGTCTGCAGAGACCCCCCTCCCCCTCCACCTTTATAAAGTTGTCTGCTCGGTGTTATTTCTCAGAGACTGTCTGAGGCGCGTCGCTCCGAGCTGCTCAGAGACTGTTTAGTGTCTCCTTCAGCCTGTTAAAGACGACAGGACACACTCCTCTCCGGAGGATTTACACTCTTCACTCCGTCTGCAGATAGCTTCACCGGGTGGAGAGAACTCAAAAGCAAAAGGACAGAAAGCAGATGTGATGAGGGACATTTTCCTCCTGGAGTTTTAATCATCTTAGAGCTAAGATTACTCCATAAGTTATACACCAACCTATTCTGCCCATTTTCAGAATGTAGTGTCTCTACTTTAAAGAGTCCTCTCCTGCTGATCAGTATGTAGTGTTTCTACTTTAAAGAGTCCTCTCCTGCTGATGCTCAGGTGTATATCAGTATGTAGTGTCTCTACTTTAAAGAGTCCTCTCCTGCTGATGTTCAGGTGTATATCAGTATGTAGTGTCTCTACTTTAAAGAGTCCTCTCCTGCTGATCAGTATGTAGTGTCTCTACTTTAAAGAGTCCTCTCCTGCTGATCAGTATGTAGTGTCTCTACTTTAAAGAGTCCTCTCCTGCTGATGTTCAGGTGTATATCAGTATGTAGTGTCTCTACTTTAAAGAGTCCTCTCCTGCTGATCAGTATGTAGTGTCTCTACTTTAAAGAGTCCTCTCCTGCTGATGTTCAGGTGTATATCAGTATGTAGTGTCTCTACTTTAAAGAGTCCTCTCCTGCTGATGTTCAGGTGTATATCAGTATGTAGTGTCTCTACTTTAAAGAGTCCTCTCCTGTTGATGTTCAGGTGTATATCAGTATGTAGTGTCTCTACTTTAAAGAGTCCTCTCCTGCTGATGTTCAGGTGTTATATCAGTATGTAGTGTCTACTTAACGTTTAAAGGACGTTCCTCTCCTAGTGTATGTTCAGGTAGTATATCCTAAGT